CACCAGTATCAAAATCACGTCACAGAGAGGTAACATTAACGAGGCTCAGGATAGGACACACATACACGACACACTCATATCTTTTCTCCGGTGGCGATCCACCATTGTGTGAGAGATGTGGTGAAGCACTTACAGTTTTTCACATTTTAATTCAGTGCAAACAATTGGACACTCTAAGAGAACAACACTTTCCTTCATCTTACCGACAACATTTACCTTTACACCCTGCAATGTTCGTCGGTAGGGAACCGCTTTTTAGTCACAAATCATTGTTAGCGTTTTTAAAAGAAATTCATAGCTTTCATGTCATATACCCGGGCATACCGTAGCACGACCTCTCCAGGGAGGTTTTCGCTGCGGTGGCTGCACAATAAAGCACTTGCCTCACGGCCCTTGGACGCAAGGGTATGAACGAGTGAGGCACTTGTGCTAATGCCATACATGTCCACCATCGTTTTTATTATCATTAACTTTTGCCATCTATTCGCACCACACACGCCTTTCACGGCATGGTCATGATTTTATTAATTGTATGTTTCACCCGCTTTACTGCGAGGAATTTTATGGCCCTTATACAGCCGCTAATCACAATCATTGTCCACATTCCTGTCTCATGAGCTGGCGCTCTTTGGCCATCAAATGGCCCTTGCGCCAAAAAACACCATATATCATCATCTCACCATGAAAGAGCCCTTTTCAGGGCTAACGAACCTTTTGCCCGGCAGTTTATCATTGCAGATACCCGATACCATGCCCTCAATACAATGCGTGGTTCTTGTTTACTGCCCAAGTTGGTTTCAGTCATCATAATAGAGCATGAAGAAGGCTTATGCCCCTCATGTAAAATGTAAACAAAGGGTCTACTTACCTTGAGCACCTTGTCGCCCTGCTCAAGGTTCCGGTCCTGCACTCAATAAAGCACTAAGTTCTCAGATGCCTGCGTGTTACTGTGTCACTGCCATCTTCAGCCGCTTTGGTGGCCTTCTATCCATTTCCACCGCAGCAGTGGGAACATCCACCTGCTGGAAAGTGTAGTAAGCATGATCTTTCAGAAAGTGGGTATTCGTTACTCTGGCCATTTTGCAACCTTACGTACTAAACATCTGTGGAAATGTTCTGCAGCTATTCAGTGGTCATAGATATCATGTATCACCATTTTAGTGCATGCACTTGCCCGCAGGCATTGCGTGTTTTATGATAAATTAATACCCCTTGTACTGCAAGAGCTGCAAACTAAGATTTTAGTTAATAAACCTACCCACTTTTTAATACTTTCTCCTGCGCTATATTCCCATTTAACAAGGTTCCGCCAAAGGCACCCCTTCAGACATCAAACTCTGTCATGGCACCCGCTTAGGAACCCGTGATACTGCGGTGGCAGAGTGCTTACCTGTAGATAGGTGAGACCAAAGACGCCACTGAAGCGTGTAATCCCAGTCAACTGTAGAACCCGGCCTCGGAAGCCAGGTAGCCAACCCCCTCCAGTGCCCCTGAATATATACACCAATGTCAAAGAACAAATCGCCCGCGCCATTCGACGGTCACTCACGTTTGTGCCTCTCTGATGGCGGCGGCGTCACGGCGGGTCTCGTGCACCAGCCTGCGCCACCAAGCTTGCCACTCCTGCGCAGGCATTCATGGTTCAGCACGTCGCTGAGCTCTTGCCACAGCCGCCGCCGGTCGGTGACGTCGTGCCGCAGCTCGATGGCTTTCGCCACGAGCTGGGGGTGTTCGTCCATAAAGGCGAGCACTAGCGCGCACTGAGCTTCGGAAACGCGGATGAGCCGCGGCTGCTGTTGGCTGCTGGTGCCGTTGCCCTCCACCATGTTTGCGCTCGACTGAGCCAACAACTTCGAAAGTTGCGCCGTTTAGGTTTGAATAGTGGTGGAGATATGGAAACAGTAACTGCTTGAAACGGGGTTGTACTTAGCGCCACTACTTACCGTCCCGCTAAATTTAGTTTCATTTCAGAACAATAACGAGAAAAATACGTTTATATTGGGCCGTATTCCTTATTGAACGTTTGAAAACTTGTGCCAACACATTTTGATAGTGATCAATAGTAGTTAAACATTTTTCAACACGTTACAAACACTTTTCACTTTGCTATACGGTCCCCAAGTCCACGTCAAAATGACGACGCAAGGCTTCATTTCGCTCATTGGCTGTTCACTTCCCTTCGTCCTCGCGACCGCTGCGGACCGCCCACTTTTTGACGTCACCAACAGACCGCCACCGTCCGGATTTGAAATTTGTATATAATTGCACCCAAGAATTACCTCATAGCCCAATTATACGCGTACTTACGATGCCTCGAAGCGGTACGTCGTTGCTCGCCAGTGCTTGAACACAATGCTTATGCTTCGCGCTCCCGATGCGAGCAGATACTGCTGGATCTTCTCGACAACGTGTTCGCGCCTGGCCAAAGGGTGATTCTGTTTATCCGGTAGTAAAGCTTTCTATTCTGGCAGTGCCGCAAATACAGGGAAGAAGGTGAACGGAATGAAACACGACTACGTAAGACAGGGGAATTCACATTGGTTTATATCCGGCTCGACTCTTGTGCGCTGCTACCCAAGTAATCGAATGAATAAAATGGTCGAGCTAGATGTTTTATTCTAGACCTTTCAATTGAGTCTGCACCCAAAAGCGCAGAGTTCTGGATACACGTTTGTGAGCGCCGATCACTTTCTTGATGCGGGTACTCTCGGTGTCATGATTATAGCATCTCAGCGCTTCTGCGACCACTTGCTTCGGTATTAAGGGTGCTTTTTGAATAGGCATGAGGTTCACGTGTCTAAAATCTGAGTGTTCTCTTTTTTACACGTAATTTAGTCGAGACACCCGTCTCTGGACGTTTCCTTATGTTTACTGCATAGAGCAGCATTAATTACCAGCCGACAGCCCATGATTTCTTCGGAAAGGGAAGTACAGCAGCCTAATCGGGAAGTTCCTTTCGATGCCAGTGCTAGCTGCTTGGCGACCTTTGCCACACTGCCTAAGTACCATACCATACTTTTTTTTATGCTTGGGGGAGGGGGGCAGGGTTACAATTTAACGCAAGCAATGAATCTGAAATTTGGTACTAATGATACGCCGCTTAGTATTTAGGTGTGTAAATATGAATGGAAGCTTCCTATCAGGTGCATTTAATGAGGAGCAAGTTTGAAAATATGTTTTATTTACGCAAAATACACAGAGAACGATGCCTTGGAGAAGACAAGCACTAGAAACTATTATGGCTGTGTTCAGTAAGGTTACAAACTCGGTGCCTTGTAAGGGGAGGGAGGTGGGACCCAGTCAAGTTTTCTGCTTTCTGTCCTACGTCACCTGGATCCTGGGGCATCAAGGGATGGCGGGAAACGAAGTAGCACACGCTGCAGTCCTAGAACATACACAGCCATTATGCTTAACACTGTGTCTTCCGCCGCCCACTTGCCGGACATGAACCACGCACAGTTGACTGCGAGGCTTTGTTTTTTCTCTCGTGAAGAAATGTATTCTACATCTCAAAAAGAAGTGGAGGACCTCAGCTGCTGTCCTTAAAAAGTGCGACTCACAACTTACACTTGCTGACGCTGTGCGGCTGTCGAGCAAAATGCTCTCAACAATCCTAATCCTTGCGTACATGTCACCGCATGCAATTTTTTGCACCGTGTACGTTTCTACATGCTCCTGAACAATTTTCAGGAGAGCGAGAAGATGGCTGCAAGGCACTTTCAGATAGCCCCTCTATTTCGTTTGGATCAAGGCAGATGGCTGACGCGTTGCGCTCAACATTGTTTCGATGCAGGCCAAGCAATCCAATGTAGAAAACTTCTTGGCCGCATATCCGCCGAGGTAATCCAAAGGGAGTCCTTAGTTGACAGGGGGCCAATGTCCTCCATGCAGTCTGTTGTTGGCTACAGCAGGACATCGTCCAGCGAAACAGCTAGTGCGTCCACCTGAAATGTTCACAACTTCCTTAATTTTCGAGGTGATGGAAACTCTGGTGATAGAAAGGAAACTATAGTACACTAACTGCAAACTACCTGAGCTATAGAGGGCTTTTCCTTGACAAAAAGACCTTGCAAAGTGAGAAGCAGTTGTAGTCCGCTTCCATCAACTGAAGCTCGCTTAGGTGGCCACACGATGTTGTTTACCGACAGCATCCGGTAGATGAATAAAAACTGCTGAAGAGTTGATTGGCCCCCATCTCCTAAAACATGCCTGACTATTCCAAAGAATCGCTGGACAGGGAAAAGGAAGGATATTGGTACCCTCGTACAATGCCAAAATGTACCTAAATTACCTCTAAGGGATTTTGGCCGAGGTTTCCAACTAGGACGTAACGAAAGCCAGACTTCAAGAGGCAATTAATCAGGGCCACCGTGCTGTGCAGCGTTATCCTCAGTGCACCACAAGTTGGTTTGCTAAGGAAGCACACCTGCCTCTGGTTTGGCAGGCTCTCTATGTATGTGCAGCAATCCTCCAGCCACTTTATGTTCACCTTCAATGTCTGTAATGCAAGAAATTTTAACGTTGAGTACACTAGAAGAAAAACATATTCACTCACTCACTGCAATGTGCTCTGCTTCGTTCTATTACACGTCCTGTGGTCTTCTTGAGTTGAGGCAGTCAAACAGATTGTTCATCTGCTTCGTGAAGTCGTAGGTAGCCGTAGAGTTATGTAGCTTCTGGCAGCCTTCTTGCTTGCTATAAAACTATTGAAGATAATCTGCTTTCGCTGAAAAGCTGAAAACGACGGCACACTGTTTTTGAGCGAAAGAGCTCTTTGCATTGAAATTTGTCTTTTTAGACATTGTTGTTAACGAATCATCAGCAAAGTTTCACGTCATTAGTTCACCTGCAAGTAGCCTTACTAATTACTGAAAGAGCTCTTTGGAGTTCTTTGGAATTTGTCTTTTTTGACATTGTTAGCAAATCATCAGCAAAGCTTTACGTCATAACTTCACCTGTAGTAGCCTTACTAAGTACTAAGAATGGTTACTCGCCTGAACAGCAAGCCGCACACTCATCTTCTGGAAGGCGTTGGGGAAGATGTGAGCCCTTGTGAGCTTAGCGACAGCACGAAGACCAGCGTGTTATTCCTCGTACTCCAGCAGGGCCGAGAAGTGGCAGTGGTCACCTCATGTCCTTGCGGCAGCTGTGATAAAAAAGTAAAGCTACTGCTCGCAATGAAAATAACCTAATGTAGATACGAATTATTGCTTACCAGAAACTTTCCAACCTTCTGAAGATTGTTCTTTATGCATTTGAAAACATGGGGTGGGTCGATTAGTGCCTGTACTTTCCGTGAAGGGTAGCATGGATCAGTAGCATGGACTCCATAATGTGCAGACTCTTCCTTACGCTCATTTCGTCTAACATCAGGACACCTGTAAAAAAATACATCTGCTATGCACACCTATGAGATCTGAAGTCATAGAATGCAGTAGTAAGTTAGTGTATTGTTCCAAACCTCGACGCTCTCTCTCAGAAAGTACTTGCAGCTTGTCTTTTAGGACAGTGGACAGAGTGCTTTCAAAACCAAAGTCAGCCTTCAGGCTCTTCAGGTACATGTAGAGGGTACAAGGGTTAGGCAAGGGAAGGTACTCATTCTCATGAAGGATTGTATAGAGCGCTGTCAACTTAATCTTCAGCAGCAGGCAGTCACGGATCCATTATTTTTTGTACCTAAACAGAGGGCAGGCTGCTTGTGCATTCAGGTAAACCGAGGCTGGTGAGTGAACAGTGCAAGTAAATAACCACAGCAAGCAGAAAAAAATGCACAACATGCGTCACACTATCTTTCCTCATACCGCAATACACAAACAACGCGTTTAAAAATGCCTCGTCGTTTTCATTATCAACGTGCACCTAGCTTACTCGAGTAAATGACCAGACAACTTGCATTGTGCGATCCTGCAAAATAGGCAATTTAGGGTTACTTTGACATGCAATGATAGCGTGCACTGCTCTCAAAAAATATTTACAAGACAGTTTACAACAGAATGGCACGAAAAATGTGTGCGGTTATATCCGTAACTTCTTGGCAGTTATGTGCGGATGAAGCTTACCTGGCAGCTTTCGGAGATTTCGCGTTTGCCTTCATGACGAACTGATCGAAAATAAGCTTCCCCTGAGGGGATAGTTTGTCCAAGTTTTGCACGAGACTTGCATTTTTGTTGGCCAGGACTCTCATCTTCGCAAGCTTCTTCTGACACCGTTCGAGTCGTGGCCTCGTACTAGAAAGCTGCATCCTCAGCACCTGTACCTCAACAAACGAACACACTGCTTGTTCCGTTGGGCTCGCCTGATCTGCGTGTTCGCTATCGGTGTGGCTACTGCATCTGTAAAAACAATTCAATAACACTGTTCAGAAGTACCTCAATGCCATGAGCCGCTATAACACAAGGTCATGCGACTGAAGGAAGAAAGTAACGCCGTGGCCAAACCGGCGCAAGAGCTTACCGTCACTAGCTTCTCCTGCCGAGTCGTTGTTCGCATTTTGGCATTCCACTGCTGCGCATTCAGGTGGCAATTCACGCCGCCTCTTCGGTGGTTGCCCCTGAATTGCTGGCCGGTAACGCGGTTTCGGCTTTGTCAGGGAGGCAGGGGCCTGTTAAAAATCCTTGGAACGGTATCGGTGCGAAGCCTCGGTTTTTCTCGCTGAAGCGGCACGACCACCCAGTTTACGATGTGTTCATCGGTTCTTGACCGTCGGTAGCATCAAAATGCTTTTCACAAGCCCCAACATTCTTGCTGTCGAAGTTGAAACCGCCAGCTTCCACCCGCGGTATAGATCTCTTCCGTTTCTCCCGAAGTTCGGCGCTGCTGGGTAAATAGAAGAGCGACGCCTTTTCCTTGTTGCTCCTGTATCCGGAGCTGGAGCCTGTCACACAGCACGTCTTAGGCATTGATACTTCAATTTTTCATGCCATCGACCTTGAACGCGGAGCACTGGCCCTTGAAGTTCTCATGACGCTGATGCAGAAACTTTGTTCGAAGGAATACCGCGAGCTGCCTTTACACAATGCCTTCGAGCTGCCGCCGTTGCCTATGCGTTTTGCCGGGCAATGGCCGGGCGCAACGGAGCGATGGCCCCCCTATCTAGAGGTGTGCGCCGAGGCGATTTCGACCGGCGGCGGCGTGGGGGTCGCTGAGAGTCGGCGGCGGCGGCGTCGCCGGCGCACGCCGGTTATTTCATCGGCGGCGGCGCGCGGCCAATTTTCATCGGCGGCGGCGGCGCCTGCGGCGGGGAAACTGAAACTAAAAATTCAAAAGGTTCTTCTGCCACAGGTTACTGAATTAGTTGAAATTCAGGGATTTTCATCCAAATAGCACTAATGACACTACACAAATGTGTCGACACCACGATAAATTCTAAGCGTTTTGCAAAACAGTTTTTATTTCGCTTTCGTAATAAAATACGCGTATTTCAATATATGTCCATGTTCTACCACGAATGTGCAGCACTTTGCTTGTTTTTTTTAATTTAAGATGCAGCAGTTTGTTTTTGTTGTTGGCTACGTCATACTTCATGAAACCTTCTTTCATTGAACATTGAGCAAGCACCGACGCACGTCGGTCAGTTCGCTTTTACCGAATCCGATCTTGCTTTTACGTTGTACGCTGCACAAAAAAAGCACCTCTACTTCGAGTTTTCTTATTACTATTGCATGAAACCACTTTTTTGAGTATCTGTCATGCTTTGAATGTAACTTTCCTTCAAACGAATCAAAATACCTACTTTTCACAATGTGAGAATCTTTTATGCAGCGGTATAGGAAGTGGAAGGAAACAATCAACTAGTTCTCAGCGCGGTGTTCAATGAATGAAGTGTAGACATGGGCGTGGGCGCGGTGGGTGGTGCAAAAAAGACACTTCAACCCTTCAAGCTCCGCCAGCACTTCAAGCTCCGCCAGCACTCTAGTGACACCACCACGACCCGCTCCCTCAGTCGTGATGCAAGTTGAAAGCATCAACTGGGAAATGCTTACCCCCAAGACAAAAACCTGTCGATGGCCATATGTGCAGATGAGAACAAATGCAATATTTGCTCAGATACACAGTCCACACTGGTCATGACTTGGAAGCCCGCTGACTACGCCTGCAGAGAACGTTGACTCCCCGACCCCTTTGTGCTCGGTGAGGGGAGGGGAACGCCACTTGCAAGTGGGCCCCAATAAAAATTCTCATAAAAACGTCACAAATAAGAATGCTTGATAAGTATGTATAAAACATTCAACTTTTTAATGCTTTTTGTAGCGTGTACACGTGTTCAATACCCATCAGGTGTGTGAGACAATTGAAATCGCAACTGCCACTCTCGACTGGTTCCGGAAAAGACTCAATAGAAGAATGCAACTACGAGTGCTGGGAACCTACGTTCGTTTGTCAATTTGATTTCTAGGCATCATTTTAATTCTTATATAAACAAAAATAAAACCTGCAAAATAATAAAACAATATGGCTGCTATTGCAAGATGTGTATCCCCCTTCGTGATTTTTCTAGAATTACGCGTCTGCAAGCCACATCTGGTGTCACAAACTTGCAAGTGCCCCCCTCCTCCCCACGACATCTCCCAATACCCCCCTCTCCAATAAAAAGGCACCAATGTAGTCCACCGTAGGCCTCCGTGATTGCATACTGGCGCACGGCGGGCCATTTCGGTTGCTAGGACCAACAGTACCAATTTCGACATGCTTTATTGAAGGTGCTGAAGGATCAAGAAAGGCCGATTGTTGTAAATTTCTTGAGAGTTCAATGATAGCTTCTTTGTGAGTACCGTATATTATTAAACCTCTCTTTGTATATAATGCTCCAATGAAAAAAAAAAGGTTTCACCCTGGGTCACTGCAGAGTCAGAAGCCATCACATGGGCAGGCATCATTAAGCCTCTATATAACATTGCTAAGGTTCAGCACATTTGTACAAAAAATTCTCGTTAATTGAACATTGGGTATATTCCTTGCTTGGGTTAGTATGCGTGAAACATAAATTTGAAATTTAAAAATTCTCATTGTGGGTTTCTGCAGCAAAGACACATTGATTAACACGGATGATTCCGGAGCTACGGCAGAGGTAACATTCGTTATGTTTTTACGGTTACGGTAATGGTAATGCGTTACCTTTTTTTATGTATATATATAACGTGGAGCCGTGAAACGTTCCCTTTTTTATTAGAGTAACGAGTAACGTATTTAGTTACTTTTTACTGTAACGGATACAACCCTAAATATATAGACTTACAGGAGTGATGTCGGCCCACACCGTCTATTGTGGTTGCGGTCTATAGGCTGGCTGTAAACATTACATAGATATATTCTTTTCATCCAGCACGTGATAGTGAAGGTTTGCTCGACCTTTGAGGAATACACAACAGCTTCTTAATAATATGCATACCATCCAACCGAAGCGTGCACTTCGTTTCACTAAAATTTACAGTCAACGTGAGTGCTGTCGTCACGCCGTATGTTTTAGGTAGAAACTTAGCCTACTCAAAATACCCGAAGACGTCGATCCACCTAGCAACGCGTGGCTACCCGCTGACGGTTCTGTATGGAAATAGCATTCACAGTGGAACCTGTCGCATCTGCTGAAATTTTATCGCAACATTATTATACTGCCACTTCGCTGGTATTTTTATGTCACTGCCTAGCGCAAAGGCACCGCCATTGTGGTTCAGTAGTTGAGGTACTCGGCTGCTGACCCGCAGCTCGCGCGATCGAATCCCGCCCGTGGCGGCTGCATTTTCGATAGAGGCGAAAATGCTGTAGGCCCATGTGTTCGGACTTGGGTGCTTGTTGAAGAACCCCAGGTTGTCATAATTTCTGGTGCCCTCCACTTCGGCATCTCTCATAATCATATGGTAGTTTTAATACGTTAAACACCACATATTAATCAATTGCCTTGCGCAAAGCACGCTTGGCGGTCTGCGAAAATTCTAGATTATTTTAGAATCTTCTGATAAGCTTGAGACACCTACAATACGGATGATGTTCCATGCCACGGGCATATATGGCGACGCACCTTCACGCAGATCATATTGCCGACGACTAATGCTCTAATTACCGCTATCTGCGTAAAGCGTGAATTTCTATTACTTCGTACTTTTCTAGGCACACGTTCACGAAATAAAAAGTCGTCTTGAGCAACCCAAGTACCATATTTTTTGCCGTCGCAACCACGTGGCAATATGGTGAGATGAGAACGGTGAAATGATTGATACAAAACAGTGAGTACACGGCTAAGTTTTATTTAAGATGCGTATACCACAAGCTATTTTCTTCTATAGAACCAATATAATGCGTATTTGTTAAATTACTGTGAAGTTGAATGACAAGAAAGGAAAAACACGAACTTGGAAAGAGGCAGTGGAGACGAAAAGTGATAGGTATCGACGTAAAGTTTGATCGGTCATCCCACGCCAAACGTCCAAGGCTTTTGGTGACTACCTCAGGTGTATTCGAAAAATGTCGGGCTGATTTACTCCATGAAAGCAGTCTATTGCGAAAATGTTTTGCAGAGAAAAATGTTTTTGGTCACCTAGATGTGACCAAAATACCGGCTATAGGCTGGGCCTTATATCGAGTCCTAAGATGATGCAGTTATTCGAGCGCTTTTTGCAGTGAAATTGGGCCATGGAGTTAATCCCGTTCATGGTGGTGCTATTTTTAAGTTTGACGTTTGAATATATAACGAAGCATTAGGAAATTCTTTCCGTGAAACCTGTATTTTTTTGGTGATGTAATTGAGGATTGTATGCATTGTGTTGGCACGAAGTTTTATGTAGGTGATGTGTTTGTAGAGTACACCGTTCCCTGACTGTGGTGAAATAGAAACAGCACTTTATGTTAATTCATGCTACAAAACTCACGTGATCTGCTCCCAGAGAACAGACGAATACATAACGAAGTGCGTTACTAACGAGCGGAGGAACTAAATATTTCTCGGTCTTTTAATGTTGTTTCTGTAATCCAATCTACAAACGTTCGTATTAAACGAGCATGACGGTACGAAGGCATGGAATTAGGTTCTGCAGCTTGTTGGGACACATGTGCCACTCCAGGTCACCTTTATTATGTGACATCAGAATTTACTCTGAGCTTGATCTATGATTATGTACCTAATCAACGGAGAATAAGTGCTAAGCTCCAGATTCACTATTAATGTGGCTTCAAAGATGAGAAAGCAGCCCGATTTGTGAGCAATCGAGCACCCGTTCTCTCTCTTTATTGTGTTGAACTGCTTGATGCCCTCAGATGCCACTTCAGTTTTTTCTTGAACAAATGTGGCGATTCGGAATGTTGTGAGCGCTAAACGAGACGTTAAGAAGAACGAGAGAGACAGGATAGGTGCTTGTGAACGTCGTGAGGAAGCATTAGTTCGCGCTGAAAATTTCTCGATAGCAATGCGCCATCTGGCTGGATTTCAAGTTTTGTTAAAATGTACGATGACACAGACTATGGGCTTTTGTCATGTCATTTGCTACCAATTAAACAGCGGCTGCGTAATTTAGGGTACCACGAAAATTCTCGCGGCCATATTTCAAGAAGAAAGGAGGCAGAGGCGCACCATTCATGCCGTACGTTATCCTTCATCACTCGCGGAAATAAATTTATTCAAGCTGAAACATGGTCGAACCATTCTTTTACCTCTCGGCCATCAGAGAGGCTTTTAATTCTCGAGTCTCTTTATGAGATATTGCTGCCATCATTTTCTAAACGGCCTGCAGTTCTGTTGTACCGACACAACATAGCAACGCCCGTGTTTTTGTAGATTTTTTTTCATTCCCATTTAAACACTTTTCCCTT